ATCAGCCATGTGGAATGCAAGGTCACCATTAATAAAGTAAAAGGAGAATTGGGTGTGCTGAGAAAGTGTGATTGCAAACAGTTACCTAGGTAAAACATTCCAGAGACAACAGACAATCCTCATTTTATCAGCAGAGTGGAGGAATGAGGCCCCTGGCCATCTGGTTAAGCTGACTGCCTTGGTCTCATCAGCTTAGGGTTGCCAAATGAAATTCGTCAGGGAGCGGGGGGCTCCCGGATGGTGTCCTCTTCGTGCGCGCGCCCCGCATGCGTCACCCAGAAGTGATGTCACACGCTGGGGGCAGGGCGACGCCATTTGAGGGGAAAACTCTTTGAATTGACAAATTTGAATTGAATTTTCCCCTCAAATGGCGTCGCCCCGCCCCCAACGTGTGACGTCACTTCTGGGTGACGCACGCGCGGGGGTGGGGTTTCCCCCGGGCCCCGATTCCGCGGGGGGATTTGGGACCCCTACATCAGCTCCCCATTGATTCCCTCAATTCTGCTTCTCAGAACAATTCCACACCTGTATGATTCTGTTGTTTAACACTAAGCCCTGCTTAGCTTCCGAGATCTGATGAGATTGGACTTGCCTGGGCTATCCAGATCAGGGCCTATTTCAGTTGACTTTTGAACATGCTTCCACATAAAGCAGAGTGAGGAAAAACAGATGAAATGCTAGCAGAAGGATACAATCCCCCTCTCCAGAAAGAAGCACCTCTGTAAAGCACATCTTATGTCTGTAAGTCTGTAAACTATCATGCCTCATATGTCTGTGGTCTATCAAAGACTATCAAGTTACCTATGGGGACAAAATACAATTAAATTATTTCAGCAGTGGCTATGGCTTCAGGTTTTTATTCAGGAACAGATCTTACTAATGCTTTCCTGGATTCCACCTTCTAGGTCAGGGGTGTTGAACTCATTTGTTATGAGGGCCAGATCTGACAGAAATGAGGCCTTGTTGGGCCGAGCCATGTGTGGCAAAAAATGTAATGCCAGGTAGCAAAGATATAAACTTTATAAAGGACACAAACAGAAAGGGTTTTTTTTTTACTTTTAAAAACATGCTTAAAACATTAGCACTCTTGCAATAGTTTATTTAACAGTGTCTGATAACTGACACCTCTTGCTCTGAATTATTGCATCAAAATGTCTGTGCTGTTGAAATCTTGAGTGTGCTGTTCAGGTGAGTATCTGTAAGCTGCAAACCTACGATGACACAGCAGCAGCAGAACTGGAAGAAGCAGCAAAAGATAGCCAGTTCCACTGCGGGCCTAATAGAAGCCCTCTGGGGGCCTGATCCGGGGGGCCCAGGATGCATGTTTGACACATCTGTTCTAGGTGGTACAAATTCACCATTTTCTAAAGGCAGGCCACTATATATTGCTAAACAATCACTAAAAATATTATTAATTAGTTGCTGTAGATTTTCTGGGTTGTGTGGCATCCTCAGAGGTATAACACAGAAGGTGGGGTAGGGCTGAGTCATTATGTTGTAGGAGTTCCCCAGGCTATGAACATGCTAAAAGAGGAGCTTTCCTGAGGAGGTTCTTTTGTATATGGATTGTTTTCTGAGGAGGTTTCCTGTTTCCTGAGGAGGTTCTTTTGTATGTGGATTGGCTGTTGAAATTCTAATCTTATCTGTAGTGCTACTGTCAGATGTAGAACCTTTTGTGTTTTTCAGGACAGGAAACCATGCCCTATTTATTTTAAAACTCTCTTATTTCCTGTTGAAATTGTGTTTATCTTTATGAATTTCAATGGCTTCCCTGTGTAATCTGACATGGTAATTGGAAGTGTTGTCCAGCCTTTCAGTGTCTTGGAACAAAATACTGTGTCCTGTTTGAGTTAGGCTATGTTCAGCCACTGCTGATTTTTCAGGTTGGCCAAGTCTGCAGTGTCTTTCATGTTCTTTTATTCTTGTCTGAATGCTACACTCAGGAAACAGGAAACCTCCTCAGGAAACAATCCATATACAAAAGTACCTCCTCAGGAAAGCTACTCCATTAGCATGTTCATAGCCTGGGGAACTCCTACAAGATAATGACTCAGCCCTACCCCACCTTCTGGAGTAGATATAAACTACCTGCCTACCATTTTTCTTCTCACCTGGACACAAAGAGTACTCCATCTTTCTGTGTTATACCTCTGAGGATGCCAGTCACACCTACTGGCGAACCGTCATGGCCGCACAACCCGGAACATCTACAGCAACTAATGAACTCCGGCCATGAAAGCCTTCAACAACATAATATTATTAATGTTTACTAGCACTTTATAATGTTGGATTGTTTTTAAAAGGTTTTAGGATTGTTTATAACTGTTATTTATGTGTTTTTACTCTTTTTGTAAGCCGGCTTCAGCTGGGAGGGTGGGGTATAAATCTAATAAATAAATAATATATTTATCCATATCCACAAGGGTTTCACTCCTTCCTCAGCATCTGCTATGCTTACATTACTAAAATGTCAGATCATTTGTGCCCAGAGCACTGAAAATATGAAATCCCTTGCAGAGACAAAATTTTTGTTCATTCTTCTACACCAGAGCTAATGCACAAAAACACATGTGAGGTTCAGTCCATAATTCAGGACAGAACACTTGTGCAATCCTAAACAGAGTTATACTCTTCTAAGATCATTGATTTCTATGGATTACAGGATAGAAATTCTCTTTGAGACTGTACTGTAAAAGCTACTAGAGAAAAGCCCCACTTAGTGCAGTAAAAGGTAAAATATCTAGGTGTCTGTTTGGGTGAAGAGTGGAGAGCCAACTGAGAATGAACGTATTCATCATGTTGCCTGCTCTCACAAAACTTCATTCTCTTCAAGCCTGCTGGGAACTTTTGGCTTCTCCTAGGAATTTGTATTATAGGTCAGACCATTAACCAAGCTGTAAAAAAAAAGGGTTACAATGGGGAACATGGACGAGAGCAACAAGAAGCCTTTGTGCCTCTGAAGAGAGGCCCCCACCTTAATGGACCCTTATCCAAGCTTTCCCATTTACGATTCAATTGGCTTCTTCAGAAACACTTTAAACCAGCAGCAAAACACAAGGCAGTAATATGGAGCTGCATTCAAAGTTTTGCTACTACCAGAGGAGTCATAGCAGCAGCAGAGCACACCTCATCTCCTGGAAGTAATTGTTACTTGCCAGAGGCAGACAGATGGATATTAAAGTTACAACACTGATTTAATGGCTCTCAGCCAGAAGCTGCAACAATCTCTGGTTTACCAAGGCACTTATTAGAAGTCAGAAATCTATTATTTTAAAAGTGGATACAGGAGATGCTCCTACAAATTAAAAAAAGGTGGCACAGATACAATGAAAATAGTTACTATAACAAATACTTCTAAAGAAGGACACTTTCCTGAAGGCACCAAACTGACTTCTTAATATTAATGTCCTTATAAACCTCATTGCTGAATGAATTATATTAACACCTTAATATGAAAAATGAATAAATGGCATATTTACTAATCTATAGAACAAACCACAGGTTGTATGACCTATAAATACTGATTGGGATATATCCAGTGAACAGTATATTATGCAGACAATATATTAAGCTGGGTACAATTAAGCAGTTTTAAGTCCCACTGATTTCAATAATGAAACATATAAATCATAAATCTAATTAAATACGTATTTCTATTTTTTTAATTCCCTCTTATGCCTTCTATTTATGACCATCTGATGTGACTGGTTCACTCAAAGCTAATAATTTGGTTAGTTACTAAAAAATAAAGGATGGTTGGAATTATGATAGTCAACTATCAGGGAGATGGCAGAAGCAAGGCATTATGAACTTTATTCAGGTGTGATTATGTGTAAGAAGAGATCCCTTGTGTGCAGTCTCTTCAGACAACCAAAGTTAATTCCCTTTGCAAAATGAACAGTTGTCATAACTATATTCATATCAATTACGAAGCTAATCATATAATGAATGCCAGTTAGAAGCAGATGATGGTGTTTTGATTCATCCTATTAATTCTACACTGCATGAAAATGTATTCCCAGGTGTCAATTTGAAGCCCAGATGGTTTGGAACTTTCAGGATGATCATAGCCTGTTATAACAGCTGAGATCAACTCAGGCATGTCTGCATAATCATTAGAGATACAATGAATACTTGGAGGAAGCTATCTTCTGCAAGCAATAATTAGCTAATGTTTTCAAACATGCTGCACAAACAGCAGCTCAGTTTTCCAGACCAAGGTAAACAGCATATAGCTCAGCGGGCCTTGGCTGGGAGGGCGGGGTATAAAATAAATAAATAAACAAATAGCAGTGTAGCAGCTTTAGACCTGACGTGCAAGAAATTCAAGATCTAATCCTCAGGGGAATGTTAATTAAACTCCATGTTAGTTCATTTGTAGCAGCAGAGAGCAGTAGAAAAGAAAAAACCCCAAGGCATGACATGCACAGAACAAAACCTCTAGCATGAGATCGAAATCAGAATATAATCTTGGCAAGGGAAACATGACTGTATTATAGTACTCATTTCCCTGGTTCCTCCTCCTCAGTATCTTAATAGGACATATTTTTTTACAAACAAGCAAATACTCAGATTACTTGTCTATACACATCAGCAGGTTCACATGAGGTTGTAGCCTTGACCTAACAAAAAGGCAAAGGAATGAAGCAAATCACAAATAATCACTCCTATTATGGCCACTAGCTACAAACCCAAACTGATTTAAAGTGCAAGAGCAGTTAGAAAAGAATTATATGAATGATCAGATTCCTGTTCCAGAACCTATTGGCCACCCCAAGATCCTATCACACACACACTGGCACAATTCAGCTCTTTCATTCCCCCATCCTTTGTCTTTCTTTTTCTTCCCTGATACATGGACTGTCTCCTATCTCTTTCTTGCTCCTTCCTCCACTTTGACAGCTATTGATGACAAGGTTTCATGGCCACAAGTGCAATAAGATCAGCTAGAGTCTGCAATGTTTCATGTCTCCACCAGTGGCCAAAATTAATTTTTTTACCTGAATTTTCTCCAGAAATGCTGCTGTAAGGTGGTGGGAAATCGTTAGTAGTTTGCAGATTATCAGTAGGTTCTTCTTCATTCTGCAACTGAACAGAAACATTTTCGATTTCATATGGGCTTGAACAAAATAATCAAACTTCAGATTTGATGATAAAGTATAATAAAAAAGTAGCTTAAGTTCAACAGTGACTGTATAATTAATGAGATACAGCATAATTTTTTTTAAATCCTTTAAAAAAATTTAACCAGTTTTTAACAGCATTAACATTGTACAAATGAGGCATGGTAAGCAAATCTCCCTGTTGATCACAACAGAACATTTTCTCAATTAATTCCTATAACTCCACTGGCAAGAAACAAAGCCATTAGTAAAGTGACTCAAGATGCATTCCCATAAAGATTGTGTAATTTTAAAATAGTGAATTATGTAAATCAAGGGATTTAAATCATGATTTAACTTGCCTCCCACTAAACAAAAGACTGTCAAAGTTTTCCATTCTGAAACTCATATTTTCTCTGAATAAGTATGCATAGTAACTGGTTGCTGTAAGAGAACATACTCATTTGCAGCTAGATATACTACAGCATTTATGCTATGGTGCACTGCAGGATTCTATCTTGTCTCCTAGTCCAATGAAGTTGCTGAGGAATATTGTCCAAAGATGTCTTCAGTATATATGACCCCAGCTCTCCTTTTTTTTTTTAATCTGTTCCAATTGTGGCAGCGTATGTCCAGAAATTATGTCTGGGCTCACTATTAGAACGGATGAGGACTTATAAATTGAAGTTCAGTCCAAACAAGATGGTGATACTGTCCTGCTACAAATGAATATGTCTTTTCCACTGTTATTTGCAATCCTATCCACATTTATCATGGACTACAGTGTAACTTACTTCTAAGTATGGGGTTGCACTGCATATATCCTACCTGTTTCCCACAGAACAATAATATTAGAATAAACAGATTGGTTCCTTCAGGGTACATGGGAATAACAGATTATAAGTGAGTGTGTAAGAGTGGCAACATTATTTTTAAAATAAACAGACTTAAATTAGAGAGCAGACATGATTGTCAACAGACTGGTCCTTTTGCTGCCTCTTGTCAATTCAAACAATGGTTCAGGCTGAGGCCTAGGCAGGAAATAATGAAAATTTTCCTCTTCGCTGAGAATGAAGGTCAAGATTCTTGTATCTTCAAAGTGGGAGGCAAGGGAGATGGGAGGCAACACAGGTCAGATCATGAGATCTAGCAGCTCCAAGGCCACAAGAATCTGAGAGGATACATTCCATTTCGTTAGGGCCCAAACCCCTAGGTTGGAGAAGGCGTTTCTTTAATCAGACTCGATGCAGCTGCAGGACGTTTGATCTAATTGGCACTTGGTTAGCAGCATACCTTACCTAACTGGTCAGGTTACATCACTTGCTATACATTTGATTGGTCAACTAGAATCATGCCAACATGGGTCACGGAGCATAAAGGAAAGATCTTTCATTCTAGTTTAGCCTTTTGTCTGGAATACATCTAACCTTGGGACACAATGCTGGGTGGACTATCCCAGCCAGAGCCCTTGTCCTAGACTTTTGACTTTAAAACCCTGTTGGACTCAGTCTTGCTGGGTAACATCTGAATCTTGAACCAATAAATCTGTTTAGCTTAGATATTCAGCTTTATTATTTTATCTTCACTGTTTACTGCTTTTTTACTGTATACTCTTGTATAATTTTGTAATAAATCACTTTAATTATATTTTGTAGTGTTCTTAGAGAGCCAATTTGGTGTAGTGGTTAAGAGCAGCGGACTCTAATCTGGAAAACTGGGTTTGATTCCGACACTCCTCCACATGCAGCCAGCTGAGTGACCTTGAGTCAGTCACAGTTCTCTCAGAGCTCTCTCACCCCCACCTACCTCACAGGGTGCTGTTGCAGGGAGATGGAAAGAAGGAGACTGTGAGCTGCTCTGAGACGCAGAGTGAAGGGTGGGGTATAAATCCAACTCTTTTTAGGCTTAAATCTGAGTCTAGTACTTTAGCCTATACTAGCTACAGCTACCAGAATAACTGTTTTCTGGAACGTAAACTGCAAGCATTCTATCTTGCAGGGTTGACTTTCTTGTTCTTAAACCCAGTAGGGCTAGAGGCTTAGTCACTTGGTGATGAGGTAGTAAAGGGACTGGTGACAGCAAACCCTAGGGGTGTGAAGATTCACATTTCAGCCCTTTTTGTTTTTATCTTACCTAACCTGTCTCCCTTAAACAAGACTTCAGCATTAAAGTCTTTTACCAGAGATTCGATTACCTACCTATAGGCTTTACCAACAAACCTAGAGGAAGCTGCTGTAGAAAAGAGGACTTATGTGCTACCATTATAAACAATAATGGAACTAGAAGTAAGTTAAAAGTTAAAAATTATATAGAAATTAACAACAATAATAATCCATTCAGTTTCATGTTTCTTTTAATTCCAAATAACCATGTTGGTTTCCAGGATAATTTGTAGATAGTAAAAAAGAAGTTCAGCTGTAATAATGGAAAATGGAACTGTAAGATAATTAAATAGAGCACAGTTGATTTAAAGACTACTCACAAATTTATTTAAAAGTGAATGTATTATATAGGAGTTCAGCCTTTAGCAACTTTCTCAATGTTCTACACCTTTAAGAAAGAGGTATATAACATGCAGCTGCATGGAATCAATCAGCATAGTTTTTTGAGAGTTTGAGTTCCCACTTGAGAGGTGGAGAGCATTTGTCAGTTTATCTAAAAAGAAGGCTTTCAACCAGATAGAAAAGAATACTGAAATGCTACTCCTATAAACTATGAGAGAGCAATTGAGCCAACAATGTGAGATAGAGAGTAATTGTCAGCCAATTTGAAAAAAGAAGGCTTCTAGTCAGGCTGCGGTCACACGGAACATTAGCCATGCGAGTCAGACGGAAGACATGCGGGTTTTCGGGGCGCGATCTCACCGGCACATCTGGGAAGTGTAGCACTCCCGTGGCTCAAACGAGGCTTCCTGCCGAAACCACGCGGCAAAAAACTAGTACCTCCGAGGTACTAGTTTACGGAAACCGCGGGGCAAGGGCGGGCGTCTGATCGCGTTTCCGGTGGCATCCGGCGCCCGCCCATGTTCCCTGGCGAAAAAGTTTTTTTTTTCTTCATGTCTTTGTGGATGCGCAAAAGCACACAACGGAGCATGCGCAGTCATGGTGTAAACAAAAAAAACCTTCCTGTTTGCCGCACCGCGCACTTCGTTTTTGCGCGCCGGGATTGTCCTGCCATCGGCACCTCTCCTTTCCCACGGAACCTCCACAGTACCTCCACGGGAGGTCTGATCAGGTAACCGCGCCTTAGTTTGCCCCGGGGCAAACTGCCACACTTCCCCCCCGCAGTTTCCTGCCCATGTGACCGGGACCTTTGTTTGATATAAACACCAGGTGGTGGCTGGAGATTAATCGCTATTACAACTGATCTTCAGGCAACAGAGATAAGTTCACCTGGAGAAAATGGCCAATTTGGAAGGTGGACTCTATGGCATTATAGTTACTGAAGTCCCTCCCCAAACCCCACCCTCTTTAGGCTCCACCCCCCAAATCTCCAGGTATTTCCCAACCCAGAGCTGGCAACCCTAAGTAAGCCCTATGGGGCTCAGCAAGGCTTCTGAGAAAACCTGTGAGTAAACTTGTTTAGTAGTGCACTGTAATACCAAATACATAAGATTTTTCTTTTGCTTACCCAGGGATTTGCAAGGCAAAACACTGGCAGCAAGCCCGAAGATCAGTGGGCTGGTGGGAGCAAGCTTGAGGTTGCTGCACCCAGAGTACAGACTGGAAAATGAACAACTGCACATGCCTGACTGGGAGCAAAAGAGGTGTGGCCAACAGGAGGGTCTGGAGAGACCCAGCTGGGTACAGGAAGGAAGAAAGAAGGCAGTGTGAGATCCATGAGGTAGGTAAGTGACACATGGAAGGCAGGAGGTACAACAAAAGTAGTTGAA